TCCCCTATCGATCTTGGGGATTTTTGCGCAACAACTACCGCCTAGACTAAATGAAGTAAACGGTAATTTTGACCGCGACTCATGTAAGGGTGCTACATGAAGACTGTAAATGGGAAGTTCACAGCTGCCCAATCAAAAACAAAGGAGCTGCTGAAAGTTCATAGTATGCTTCAGAACCATTAGAACGGGCTCTTACAAGTATTCCATGGCACGCATGTAGCAGTCTCTTTGTCCTCTGGTGTGTTGGGCGACGGAGTTTGCGCCGCAACCAGGTTCCTCTCATGTCAAATGCAAGCACCCTCGAGGGGAAGGCAAATGCATGAACATCATATACGCAATTAAAAATGTGGTCCTGTGGACTCATTCTGAAGGATACGCGGCTCTCTTGGTGTCGCAACAAAACGTGTTGTTCCATATTTCTCCATCTCAAGACCAGCCTACTGATGATCCCTTTCCATACATGCTGTCCCAGCGTATGAATAAGAACATCTACGCCTGTGATTTGTCTATATCTGTGGCATTTAAAACTCAAGTGAGGTTTTGTTCAGGCTGACCGGACCCATCGACCTGTCTTGAAACTGCGGCTCTTCATCGCTCCTCAAGGCCTCTCGGCCATCTGCCACAGAGTCCAGGCGCTCGTCCTCCTCCTCCGCCTCCGCCTCCTGCTTTATGTTGGAGTAATATTGGGCGGGTAATATAGGGACAACGGAAAAAATGGAAACTAATATATACTGCGTAATCACAGGCACATCTCATGGATTCGGGAGTTTCTTACTTGAAGAGGCTCCATTCGGGGGATTTGAAGCTTTGAAAGGAATTTGATGATGCCTACTAGGGTATCATAGTATCAGTGCCAAGGCTTAATGCACATGAACTCCTGAAACAGAGCCTGAAATCGGCTGACTCCTGGACATAATCCTAAGGCATGCAATGCACACAGGCACCCTTAGCTAAGAGGCCTGAGGAAAAATTAGATAATGTAGACCCCTGATTAATAAACCCACTCCCCTAATAGGGAATATAATTGGGACCCCAATATTAAGGCCCGTAAAAGGAGGGAGTTTCTTAATCATGGGCCTACCTCTACATTACGCCCAATGTCCTGGACATCTTCGTGAATGCGTTCCACACTTGCAGCAGCATCTTCCTCGCTGGCGATGTGGCTCTGCGAAGACCAAGGCGCTGGCTCGTTGCTGTCTTTCCTCCGGGCTTTGGCTTTGTGGGGGCTTCCCAAAATTAGGGGTACCTTTTTGGGGGTCCGCATGATAAGAACTGTAGTACTTTGGGGATCTATATTAGGGTCCCCCTATTTAAGGAAAGTACCTTGTTCTCCCTCATGACTTTGATTTTTTGAGCCTTAAGATCGGAGGCCACGAGCTCCATCCCGGTGTGTCAGCAAAAACAGGTACTGCCCTAGTTGAACAGGAGAGAACATGCGCCTCCCCGTCCTACAGCCCTACAGCTGATGTTTGGATCCAGCCAAGTAACAACAAGCTATAATCTGCTTGGAATTGTTCTGGCTAAGGAAAGGGTCCTCCCTAGCGTCAACAGTTTGACCCTGGGAACCTCTATGACATGATTTGCTAACTGACAGCAATAACAATTGTACTTCTAGCAGCAACGCATACGCTTAATACCCCCTCCTGCCGAGCAGCTCGAGCGTGGCAGCCTGGGCTGACAGGACTGAATGCATACGACAGGACTCAATGAAACTTATGTACCAAAGAAAAGTGGACCCCATTCTCTGGGAGGTTCCATCTTCGTGAGCATGCCCCCCATTGCATCGCTCTCAATTACTACTCCCTTCAAACGAATCCAAGCATTAACGAAACGAAAAAAACTTCCCAGCAGGCAGCCGCTTGTTCAGATTCCTCGCTGTGTTCTTGGAGGCAAGGCGTGCTTGCAACAGACCTCAAGGCCTCCTCAACCTTGGCAGCTGAGTGCAGGGGCGGTTCTACCTGGGCGGCTTGATAAGCGACCACGGAAACTCACAAATTCTACCTGCCAAGGTGTGGGTCACCCTTAGCTAAAGTGTACACACAGAGAAAAGCTTCAGATGAACAATGATCCGGCTACTTCTGGAGATGGCGGAGACGAGGAGAGTGGCAGCTCCTCCACTTCCTCTTCCTTCCGCAGAACAGAACTCTCAAGGCTTGGCGGCGGCGTGGCTGTCTGAGCTTCAGCCACGGGCGCTTGGTCATCAATACCTGCGTCGGATGCGCTTGGCGCATCTTCCGTGACAGCTGTGCCACGATCCACGGAGATGGCTGCTTCAGGACTGCGGTGCAAGGACATCAAGCTTTCGGCTTCATCTTCTGTCTTGTCGAGCGCTGGCACTTCTTCTGGTTCGGCGTCCTCCACTCCCGTTGCTTCCACGTCACGCTGCAGTAGCTTGCCTGTCTCAAATGCCTCTACTTCCGCGGCCGAAGCCCCCACAGGCTTCTCGGGTGCGTCCCCTGCGCCAGCCTCCGGCAAACAGCTGCTGGCTTGGAAAACTCCGAGCTTAGCCTGGGCATCTATAAGACAGGTGTCTACAGAAGGTAGCTAGCCATATAGGCGTTTCCATGTTCTTTTCCGTTATCCCTATATAACCTCTATATAATGCTCAGTGCAAGTGAAGCACCTCATCGGATTCTGCAGCTGGAGCCATATGCATTGGCTGGAGCCTAGGCTTGATTATTGGAGATTTTTTTCGCAGTCGAATGTCTTTCTTTCTGATCTTAGTAGCACAAGAGCTGTCACATCCCTGGACCAATCCTTGAAGCTCAGCAGCTTGATAAACAACTGTGCTTGCAGCAGGTGCAACAACATGCCTGGGCCATTGAGGACACAAGTTCTCAGGCGTGCTGGGCTTGACAGTTGGTAGTTAAGCAGAGCAAGTCACTCCAAGTTAACCTACTTTGCCAGGACTTGCTGCGTGAGCTTTGTGATTACCACCTATATAACCCCTATGTGGGAGCCCCTTTGGGCCCCAGGACGCCATGGAGCTGAAGACAGAAGCTCTCAATTGTCTCCCAGGTCTTCGCCTGGCAACGGAAGAATGGATCCCTCTGGTAGCCCCTATGTGAGCTATATAGTATGAACTCATGAAAGGGGGGATATAGGGGATTATATAGAGGAGTATTACAGGGGTTATTAAGGGGGATACTAGGAGTTTAGACTATAGCTACTATAGCTCATATAACCCCCAATCGCGTAATAGTTTCTAAGCTGAAGAATACTACAGTTTCCATGTCCTGCTCCATTTCTCAAATGGGTATCTGCTCAAAGCGTTGCCTCTGAGCTGAGTAGTTCCGACTCGATGCTGCTTGGGCCGGGGGCCGGCCTTGCGCCTTGCAAAGCAATAAGCTGCCTGCATCTTCTTGAATGGCGCCAAGAAAAGGCTTGCCATGTGCAGCCACAGGTACTTGCAGCATCTTCGGCCACCTCAGTGCTGTCGATGGTGACAGGATACAGCAAGGCTTGGCACTGGCACTACATTTCAACAAGGCCATCTTGTGGGGTACATGAGAACACTGGCAACACAGGGGCGCTGTTGCCATCAGACATGCTACGCCCGCACTGGAAAGGATGAAGAACATGTGAAAACACGTGCGCAGCAGCGCCTGCGGTGCAGCCTCTTTCTTGCAAGCTGCTTCAATGTCTCCAGCCTGCAATGGAGTAGTTGGTAAGTCCAGGCGCACCGTTTCCCCCCATCCTTATCCTTGAGCCGCGCCTTGGCCACGTTCTCCGGAGCCACTGGAGCCTGTGGAGCCTTGTCATCCTTCGAATCATCAGACATCTGAGACGTCTGGCTCTTCTGGCCAACACCTTCTTCCAAGCGTCAGTCAGAGGTTCAAAAATGCAAGCTAATCGCAGGATGCAGTTGTCCAAAAGATGATCTTGCATTCGTCTCTGGCACACATTCTCGTACATCAGCAGAGCGACATGCCAAATCCGCCATGCGTGCTGACAGCACGCGCTCCACCTGGGAAAGCTCCGTCAGTCTCTCAAACTCAGGCACCCCAATGCTTGCCCCAGCTATCAACATGATCAGGATTTTAAGCACGCCTCAACTTGCCCAAGAAAGCTTCTCTGAAGGTCTTTATGATTCAAGATGAAGCGCAAACCGTAAGGAAAAGATCATAGAGAACAACTGGCGCGCGCAAATTCAAACCATCACTCCTCCCAACAATGCCAGTTTTCAAAGTGGAGGGCCCTTGCAGGCCCAAGGGAGGTGATGGGAGTACAGTAGAATTCTAGGGACCCCACCAAAGATTGAGGGACATAGCCTTTAGAAACTACCCTTTGCCAATTCAATGGGAGCATCCTCACATGCTTTGACTTCCCTGAGACTAGCAGGATGCTAGGCCGGAGCAACTCGTGGAATCGCGCCGTGCTTGTGGCTGACAAGGGGCGGCCCAGCGCGTGGCAGAGCTTATGCCAGGAGGGTCCTGTAATTACTAGGAATATTCAAGAATGCTACTACTAAATAATAATACTGCTAATCTGCATGTGCAATAAACGGAAAGTGGTTGACATCGGTGCCACGCAAGTCTGCCCGGCGACTAAGCACACAGACTTTGTCCAAGTACATCAGCTTTAGAGATTCAAGGCCCGGGGTTTGGAGTACCACCGCAGACCCATCCTCTGTTTTCACAAGAACTCAAAGGAGACGTGGAGGGGCCGGGTTTCAAAGAACTGGAGCAGAAAAGGATCCAAGCTACGCGTGCATCCCCGGCATCGTGTGCACATGCACAAGAGACGTTGTTAGCATCCTCCTGTTCCGCAGAAGTGCCCTGGCTGTCATCCGCAGATGCCTTGGCCTCTGGGAGCTGGGAGGTCGGGGCTGCTTGGCCTTAGCTGTTGCACAATCAATTCCCCCCACCTGCCGGACACAAGACAACTCAGGTCAATTCCAAGTGCCTGTATCGGCTGCTGTTGGCACGCCGTTCCTCTTCTCCTGGCTTTTGGCCCTCAAGCTGCTCGGGGTACGGCGGCTTGCAGTTGGAGTTCCTCCTCGCTTGCTAGCACCTGAAAGCCGTACGACGCCAAGAGCGAGAACATGTTTTGCTAGCAGCGCATAGCACAACACTGACAAGTAGCACCCTCCACACAGTCCAGCATAAGTATTCTTTTCTCACCATGGCACTGGGGGTCCGCCGGCTCGCAGTGAAGCGTTCGGGGCATTCGAAGGAACGGTGGTCCTCCAAGGCGCGTGCACAAGCAAACCTTTTAACGCGGATGTACATCTGAAACTAGCCTCCCTGGATCTAAATCAGCAGCAGCCTCCAGAAAGGCCAAACAGCATGAAAAGCCCTGTCTCTTCTTCACCTGAGTGTCAAAACAATGACGTCGGGCACCAACAAAATCCCAAACACCCTTTTTGTCCCAAAAAGCTCGCCAAAAGACCTAAGTAACTCAAGCCCTCTGTGTCCTTGCCACAAAACAATGACGTCGGGCACCAACAAAATCCCAAACACCCTTTTTGTCCCAAAAAGCTCGCCAAAAGACCTAAGTAACTCAAGCCCTCTGTGTCCTTGCCACAAATGGTGCAAGATGCTGGCTTCGCCGGCGCTGGCCTGGGAGTCTTCCCACGGCCGTTGGGCGGGAGGCAAGCCTTGCCTGCAGGGAAGCTGATAAGTTGTCAACTGCGATCATTTGACAGCTGCAACGATGATCCAAAATCTGAGGCGTGAAGTGCTCACCAACAGTTGGGCCAACATCGTCGAAGAACCTTAGGACGTGCTTTGCCAATTGCGTGTGCGCGGTCCTACAAAATCCCACCCAGGGGATCGACAATCACTTCTCCCCTGCAAGTGGCATGCAGACATCCCATTTTAAAGCAACCATGAACTTCGCACAACCTTCTTTCCAGTGGACCACCCTTCAACCCCCATTACTACAGTATATTAATACTATAATATACCATAGTACAATATACACGGACCACCTGGAGGAGCTTTTCCCTCCTGCGCTGCTTTTTTCGAGGCCATGGGTGGGCGATCGGACATGGACTCTTGGTATCAGTCCCTATAACGTATAGCTTACCATCACGTTAGTCAAACATGGTCTGTGTTGCCAAAACGCTTTCAGGGGGTAAGCCAGTCGCACTTAAGGCAAACCTGGGGCTGCTCAAATGCTAGTCGTTCAGGACTCAGTGTTGAGGTCCAGTGGATTTTTGTTGATTCTGGCGCTCTCTTCCGGCGATTGCTACTGAGATTGGGCTGTGCTTGCTATCTGCAGCCCTCAAGAATACGGAGGAGCCAGTACATGCACGCCAACCAGTCATGCCAACAAGGGGACAAGCGACAGGACAGATAATGCAAGGCTACGTAAATTCAATATCCTTGCAGTAAGAAGGCCTGGGACGATAAATCTTCTTTTGGAAACTGTTAACACTTGGACTCCTCAAGCCTCTCGGCCTAAGCTTGCTAACGTGGCGAAAGAATACCTGCTCGGGGCACCCTTAAACATACGGCTATAGAGTGTAGAGGACACACAAAGGTTCCCCATATGAGCTATAGTCTAAACTCTTTCAAGGGGATTATATAAGGGACCACTATAATGGAGTTTATTCAGGGGGATGCCAGGACTTTAGACTGTAGCTCATGTGAGGATTTTCGCTCAAAGCTTTTTCTAGGAGCGCCGGAATGGCAGGGTGACTTGTCATACGAGGTACATGCAGCTGAGACCACGCTCTTTTCCAGCCCAGAAGTGGGCTCCTATATCAGCCTAGATGCTTGAAATGTAGCCTTGCGGTACGGTTGGGGTAAAGTATATTGAAATGTAATAATTACGTTACGTATCAAGTCTCATGAAATTGTGTTTATAAACCAAGGTTGTTGCGTTGGGAGCTTCAGGTTGTAAGATGTTGTTAGCTATGTGGGCGCCCAAATGTTTTTCTGTTCAGGACACTGTTCACAGAAGGTCCGGAGTCGACAATACTTCTCAAGAAGTTGGCCGAGCGCTTCGGAAGCTAGAAATCCTCAGAGCTCATGTGGGGAGGTTTCCAAGTAATGATCTGGATTTTGATTTTGTGAGAGCCGGATTCTGCTTTCGAAAAAATCCCTAAAACCCTAAACCACCCACCCTAAACCCACCCTACTGGGGGTCTCGCAGCTGAGTTGTGCCTCGGCCTTGTGTGCGCCAAACCCGCGTCCGAGGACATGTCTTGAAGCGGATGCCACATGGACCCTTTTAGGGGGTCCCTATAAAAAGGATTATAGTTTTTGGGCGTCTATGTTATGGTACCCCTGTTGAAAAAGACTACCACATGCAGTTTCTGGAGTAATTAGAGCAACATTCGAGCTTGAGTTGGCAGGTCGCGGGTTCGGCTGAAGCCCGACCCCGAATCAGGGACTCAAATGCAGGTTCCACACGCGGAAACGGTATGATGTGGAGAACACTGGCGTGCAATAATACTTCTTCCCGCCAAAATCGCAACCAAGTCTGCGGACACATTGGTGCGACAAATCTGACAGGAACCTGGTTTTGATCTTGGGAGGGTTTGCCTATAAATTAGGCTTCATTAGTGTAGCAGTCGAATTCAAAGCGGCCAGACAGCTGTAAGCAAGCCACCTATGGACATCAGACTCAAAGCTGATGCTTTCGGTCACCATCTGCGCGGCCGCTGTACATGGGAAGCGTTTTGCAGGGCGTCTCCAGCTGCGCAGTTTTGAGCACAAAGCGAGTCTCAATACGGCTCTGAGTGATGCTAACAAAGCTTCCGGCATGCAACACATGCGCGCGCAAGACTTTGAGCTGGGGGCCACCATGGCTGAACGCCATGCATGGCTTGCTCAGTGCATTGCAGTTCTTTTGTGGGCACCCTTAAAGTACCGCTTCCTCTTCCAAGTTTGAATTCCGCATCTTGATGCGTGGCAGGGTTGGATCACTGTGCTGAGCGGCTCAGAAACTCACTAATGCGAAGAATCCTCACGAAATTGCTGCAAGCCATGAGAAAATATCATGGGAAGCCCATATCACAATCAAGTTCTCCTCCCTCACCACATGGCAAAATCAAGGATATCTTTTTGGAGCTTCTACTAAGGATCACAGTGTACTGGGGTCTATAATGGGGTCGGGGCGGGCGCCCACCAGCACTGCAAAACGTGCATGAAGCAGCTGATGCTACTGCTGTACATGCTCCTCCGCGTTTGGGCACTGATTCCAAGGAGAACATACTTATGTCCATTGTTGCTCTCATTATTTATGATAGGTACTGCTTTTTACTTTCGTCGTCTGATCCGCAACCCTGCATCTCATCGTCTAGCGCCCTCAGGCGAAGGCGTCCGGGAGTGGGCCAAGGCGCCAGGCAAGCTCGGGAAGAATCAGAGTGACCTGTTGCTGATAGCATTTGGATAGTAGCAAGTCGTGCAGTTGCGAGTTACTACTGTACCATCATTGTCGCCGCGCCACCACCACTACTACCACTGCTGGACTACAGTACGCAAAGCTCATGAAAGTGTTTTGCTGGCCGCTCACCCGGGCAAAGCAAAGCCCTTGCTGCCCCTTTGGTGGGCACAAGTCTACCAGTCTACCACTGGATATCATTTACAGGATTAAGAGGACTCTCTGTGTGCCAAGGTTCACTCAGTAGGAACACGAAGGCCACCTTTCTTCTGCTTCTCTCCTGCATTGCCAGAAGGGAGAAGGACGTGGTACGAAATGTAAATTCGTCGGTGGCACGAATTACAGCTCGCGACTATGCAATCTCACAACAACTTTGGGCCCTTGCAAGTATGATAAATAAGGTTTACACTCATAAGCCACAGACCAAGTAAAAACCGAAGCATGCTGCAGCAAAGAGTGAAGCAAGTATTGAAGAAGTCTTTATTCCAAGAACCATGGCCCAAATATAGCGATGACGGCTTCTAAGGGGACCCAAGAGCCTTCCGTGGCTTGAATTTCTGCAAAACCCTTGCGTTCTTTTTGGCCACCCGCACCATCACCAAGGACATCTTGGCCACTTCTTGGGACCGAAAGTCGAAAGTAACACACGTTAATCCGATTTCTGTTTACCCCGAACATCCCCAAACATTGGGATGGTAGTTTAGGATCTATAACTGAATCTAGGGGCTGTGAAACATCTATGAATGTCGCTGTCTCGCGGGTAGCTTATCTTGGTGTTGCAGGCAGTTGCTGCAAGCACTTCTGACATCATTGATTCTCAGAGTGCCTAAACTGCTCAGGGCCTACAGCATAAGCCGTACCCAGGCATTCTGTGACAGGACGCTCTTCTGCAAGTGAACCACCACTGTGCACAAGAACATGAAGTGCAGTACAGTGCGCATCCACTGCAACGCCCTGCTGCACCCCGCAGTGGCTTGCAAATTATGGCATCCTGGTGTGCATGCGCAGATTCTGTTTCAAGGCACGCCTAATCACGCTTAGGACGCTCAGAGCTGGCTTTACTGCGGTTGAACTGATCCAAACTTGGCAAAACACACCAGCTTGGGAAAAATGGTGCAGCTATGTCAACACTGTGTACATCCAGGACCCTTGCCCGTGACGTTGGCAACCCACAGAGAGGCCATCTTCTGCCCATGCTCCCTTTCACGCCCTGAAAGTTGTGAGTTACTTTGTGGTTGGTTAACTTGGGATGTCTGAGAACCACTTTGTGGGCCAACTACATCTACTCAGCTTTCTCCTGCCTGTATGCCGGGAGGGCACCAGGCCAAAAGTAGGTCCGCCAGAGGAAGCGGAGAATGTCCGGCTCATCCAGCGAGGGGTCGTTGTGCGGCGCGATCACTTTGGCGTGCATCTCCGGGTATTGCGTCCAATGCATGTTGCTGTACATGTGGTGAATTGCGTGGTACCCATTGTTGCAGGTGAACCAATTGATCACCGGGCCCGTGAAGTTGCGTGCAGAGTTCACATTCATCTTGGGCCCCTTGTGCTCTCCAAGGACAATGTCCTCTGTTCCATCATGCTGCAGCATATTCCTTAGCTATCCAAATTGGCCTGGGTGCGATTCACTCAAGAAGGCCCTGATGCAGCAGGAAAAGGCACAAGCTGAAGCTACATGAAACGGCCGTGGCTCATGGTGACTATGGCGTCTGCGCCGAAGATGTAGGGTATGATCCAGCAGCACAGGGTCCTCTGCCAATCGAGGTACCTCATGGCATCATGGGCTTCTGAGTCAAAGATGTGGAAGCACAAAGCATCTGTTCCAGAGAATTATGCCAAAACAGCAGGCCGCCGAGGCACAGCAGCATTCCTGTAGTGCCATGTGCTGCAAGGACCTGTCCCATGCAATCTGTGCAAGTCGTCATACCTATTTCCTTCTTGTGCAAGGCTTGGAAGGGGAGGCAAATCAAAACACCAGAATAATCACTGCGAATTTGACCTAATCACCACCTATACATGCTACATGCTACATGTAAGGTGTCTTTGACAAAGCCGCAGCGAAGCAAGCCTATGATCGTGACGCAATCTCAAGCTCAGCAAGTCCAGGTCACACCGATTGCCACCAAACAGACAAGTCACGCCCAGAACTAGATGCTGAGACTGCCTATACTTCTCAGTAGCAATTCTAGTAGTAAGAATAGTTGTAATAATAGTACAAATAATAATAGTGATAATCATCATAGTAGTAGTAGTAGTAATAGTAGTAGCAGCAGCAGCAGTAGTCATATAAACGCTTCTCAGGCGCTGCCCAAAAACAAAACCTGAGGTGTAGGAATATCATGTAGGCCACCGTCTAATCTCCTAATATCCTCCTTAATAACCCCTATAGAAGGGGGCTGAAGTTTTAGGGTCTAAACTCCTAGTATCCCCCTTAATAACCCCTAAAGTGGTCCCCTACATAATCCCCTAGACAACCCCCCTTTCAGCAGTTTAGACACAGTTTCGACTATAGCTCATTGCTACAAAAGTCTAGCATGTCCCGAGCTTCCCTTGTTGCCGCCCCACCTGAAGTACGAAGAGGAAGAAGAGCTTGGAACCCTTCCGCATCTCCCTTGAGATGTACTCGGACTCCAGCTTCTGAATGGCAGGAAAGACCTGCGGATGGGGCTTGCAGCTGGTGAAAGAGTTGGTATGAGTTTAGGGACAGACTGTGTTAGATGCTTGGCTTTGGTTGCTTGCGTGGTCTCCTTTTCAATTGCTTTTTATGGTTATGGGCACCACATGCTGCTCAGTCCATACAGTAGCTTGCCAGTGTATGCTTGCAAGGTCCTTTGCCAACTTCTGCGATGCACATGCAACTCTTAAATGACATGGACGAGCGACTGTTGCCTTGTGACAGCATCATGCTATGCTTCTAGGTGCCCCCGCTGTGAAAAGCAAGCTTTAGGCATTCAGACTACGGGAGCCCAAGGTACTGAAGACTCACTCTAAAGCACAGTCTTCAGCATCGACAAATCTTCACCATCTTCCCGCAGGCCGTCGGGAAGAACAAGATCAAGTTCAGCAAGTGCCACTTGTACTTCCTGAGGGAGATTCCAACCACTTCGAGATGCAGTAGCGAAGCAGGTTTGTATGGGCCGTATTCTATGCCGTTTCCATAGGAAGGACCCAGATATAAGATGATGCCGTCTGTTTTTTTGCTATACGGCATTTGTTGGCAAGAATGGGCAAGCTGTGCAGTGCGGCAGGCCCAAAACCATCACAGAACAGCGTCATCTGCTTCGTGTCAAGATGGTCACCATGCTGGGTGTACACCTGGGCTTGCTAGAGGCTTGGCCCAGGAAACGACAGAGTGACAGAGTCTGGATTTTTCACGGAGCTGAACAACCTCTGTATGTCATGCTTTAACCGCACTGCCACTGTCATTGGGTTACCATCCAGACTGCCGGAAGGCCAAGGGGCGTGATGATTGAGATTGTGCGTCGGGCGGTATGCTTCCACGGGCACACCGGCTGTCGCTGAAAGCAGCACCCTCCAAACTGACCTTGGCATTTCTCAAAAATATCCAAGGCCCTGTCGTTTTGAGAGCCCCCAGATCTGCATGTCCAACAACTAAACAGCACTGCCATGAAATCAGTGAGCAAGTAGTAAGCAAAATATCAGCGAAAAGCAGGACACATATCTTCATGAGCTGCTGCCATGAGTTTTCAATGTGCATGGGCAACATCCACCAGCTGATGGTTGCAACATGGTCCAACAGCCTCTAAGGCTTGAGGCCGAGGAAGAATCTACGGGAGTGGAGCATGTTACATCTAGGTGCTGATTTGGTTCACTATTGAGGCTACTGTTTGAGCCCGCCATGCTTCGAGCTCTTGGATCGTTTAAGTTTAACTTCAGTGGCGGAGTTCGCTAAGTTGATAATGGGTGAGATGGTGTCACTATGTACCTGCTGCTATGAGGCACGCGCTGGCACTCATTCCGCTCTGGCACTAGAGAAGCAAAGAAACCGGTTGTACTACTCGCAGATCTAGAAGCAATCTTCTCCTTACACAGCTGCGAGCATGCGCACTGTGATGACTATAGAACCCCATGTTGCGGGTACTGGCCACTACGGTACACTACTGGCTGAGTCGTGGGCTCCACTACGGGATGTCGGAAGACGTCGCAATGCATGGCGTTGTGCACCATGGTCATCACCTTTCATCAGACGCTCGACAAATCAAAGTGCAAGATGCAGTGCTTTCAACACGAGCTGAGACTGAAATCCACCAACCCACTGAGCCCACTCAGCAGCGCTTGAGGGTGTGGGGCCATTTAGCTGTACGACTCCAAGTGTTCCAGCTGATGAGACCCTCCGAGGCACATAGAAGCTCCAAACGCACTGGACGATGCTGAGCAGAAACTTGCCAGTCAAGTTCAGGTACCTCAATGATGGAGTGAAATGAAACAAGGAAGGCCGGGACAAAACCAGGAAGAGCCCATAGAAACGGAAAGGAGCCCCACTTAAGAGAACCTGTTGCTGGACTTCTTTTGGAACTTCCTAGTTTGGGGGTATCTACGCTTGGCAGTGCAGGATCGCTACTACGCAACAAGGCAGCCCTCAAAAGGCGACCACAGATCTTCGCATAGATAATACGAGCATAAAATGGCATAAATCTGTGTCCCAACCCAGCAGTACTTCAGCCCCAGTAGCGGATGAGCGTTCCACACCAGAAAGGCAATCAGCCACTTGCCCGCACAAATGCCAAGTGTCCGGAGATCTGCCGGGTTTTTCATTGACGACAGAAAAGCCGAAGATATGTCCATGGCTCCTTTTTGCCTGTGGGCCTATGTCGTCCTTCCCTACCAGAATACAAGTCTTGAGCCGAAGCTGTGGCATCCTAGGTGATGATGACGTAGATCAGAGGCAGCTGCTAGCCCCCAGGACTTTGTGGTTTACTTACCTGCGGCTTCTCACTTCTTGCGCCATGACATCTCAAGAACACAGACAGAGCAACGCGCAGCTCAGGTCCTGGTATTTCTTCTTGGGGAGCTCGTCGCCCTGGCATTGGCCAAGCTTCAAGACAGGCATCTCCGACTACTCTCTACTTCAGGTTCAGGTAGCTAGGCCAAGACCCCCCAGGTCTAAATTCTGCATCCATGACTTTGAACCTGATTCGGTTGCATAGAATAAGGAAACTGACAGCCGGTGCAGGCCTCGCGGCTGCGATGCATTTCTGCTGCGCCAACTGAACATGACAACGCCTGGGGTGGGCCTGGTGTGGCCTCAGACTCATTGCTGCGATCAAGCACGGAGTCATGATCTTGGCTGGTGGCCTGGGTCTGGCTCTGGCCATCATGGAACTCCTCAACGAAAATGTCCAAACTCCAGAAATTGGCCTGCATGGCCAACATCACATCATCCCAGGACTTAGCATCCTTTCTTGCTTTGCCGGGTTCACTGCCCTCCGAAATCTCATTTGCAATGCCTGTGGCTAAAGATGCATCTGCCAACCCCGCTGCAGCCGCGTTGGCATTCTCACCTGTTGAGTGCGTGGGCGAGAGTGCATCACTGCTTCCGGAATTTGCTAGTATCTTTTCACCAATTGTGTCCGACTCAGCGATCACGCAGCACAGGGCAGGAGTCTCACTACCATCCAGAACCTCCTCCTGAGACACGAAGAGCTCATCCGCCAGAGCATTCTCAAAGGATCCAGGCTCCAAGCTGTCGGCACCCACACCTGCACAAAGCGGGACGTCTGCTAGTGCCCAGTGGGCATCATCATGCGGTTCGGCATAGATGGAAGCATCCTCCGCATGCACCTCTGGCAAATCTGCAGGTGCATCGGTGCCCTCCTCAATCACTCCGTCGGTTGGGTGAAAAGGCACTGGATAAATGACCTCCGAACTGGCAGCCTCATTGCCTGCCGCCTCAGGATCAACTGCATCCTCGCTCTGGCTTGCATCAAGATCTGGGCTTGCCTGTTTGGCCGAGTGCTCAGTATCCAGCAGCTGCTGCTCGTCTGCAATCTTGTCGCTCTCATACTCCTCGTCTTTCAAGCCTTCACTTGGAGTGCCTGCGGACGAAGATGCATCTGCCGATCCCCAAGCAGCAGCATCAGCACTTTCACCAGCATCTGCTTCGACAAGATCCTCCTGCACCTCTTCTGAGCTTTCTGGCAGCTCTTGGTGGGCTGAGTGCGTTGGCGAGACTGGATCACTTCGCCCGGAGTTTGCAAGCATCTCGCAGCACAGGGCAGGAGTCTCACTACCAACAAGAACCTCCTCCTGAGACACAAAGA